GGCTCCGGTTGATCACCTTTGCCAAAGTCTTCAATTGTATTCACCACCATTGTCTGATCGGATGCACTTCAATTTCTGCCCTGTTTCTCTTTCAACCATGGCCTGGAAATACTTAAATACTTCTAGAACTTGATCTTTAGTTTTTATTAGAAAAGCCCAAACTTTTCTTGAATAATCATCAATGAAAGTAACAAAATAAAGTGCGCCACTATGTGTTATAACTTTTAAAAGACCACAAACATCCGAATGAATCAACTCCAAAACATTTTCTTTTCTAGAAGTAACATTTTTATGAAAAGAAACTCTATGTTGTTTACCCGCCAAACAATGAACACAAGTTTTAAGATGTGTACCTTTCAAACCGGGTAGAAGCTCTTTCTTGAACAAAACTTGCAGCCCATTTTCACTCATATGACCAAGTCGCTTGTGCCACAATTCGGTAGAAGTATCATCTTCAAGTACATTGACAACACCTTTACAAGTTTTTCCTTGCATCGAATAAAGTGTATGAGTCTTCTTGCACTTAGCCACCACCAAAGAACCCTTTGTGTGCTTCCATATTCCATCACCAAATTTGTTGTTGAAGCCTTCATCATCTAGCTTCCCAGTAGAGATCAAATTAAGGCAAATGTAGGGAACATGCCTCATATCTTTAAGCAACAACTTGCAGCCCAAATTTGTTTCCAAGCAAACATCACCCATATCAATAATCTTGGACAAACCTTCATTACCCATTCGAACAAAACCATAATCTCCTTCGGTGTAGGTAGTGAAGAAATCAACTCGAGAAGTCACATGAAAAGAAGCATCGGAATCAATCACCCAATTGCTCTCTTGGCCCACAAAATTGATACAATCATCTTTACAAACGACCATGAGATCACCATTGGTAGTAACTGCTGTTGTGTCTTCTTGCTTCTTATCCACACTTTTGTCACGCCTTTTCTCCTTGTTCTTGAGCTTTCGGCATTCTCGCTTCATGTGCCCTTTCTCATGGCAATAATAGCACTCAATGTCTTTCTTTGAAAAAGAACCATCTTTTGATTTATCACGGCTTTGATCACGACCATGAGGAGTTTTACTCCACCCTCTTGTTTTGCTTCGGCCTCTCACAACATATGCTTCTGAATGAGAGGAACCTGCTGATTTTCATCTAGTTTCTTCATTCAACAGGCTACTAGTGACTTGCCCCATTGTGACAACTCCATCGGGCGCCGAATTACTAACCGTCACAACCAAAGTCTCCCAACTTTCGGGCAAAGAACTAAGTAGCATTAAAGCCTGCAACTCATCATCAAAAACAATTTTCATAGAAGTAAGTTGGTTAACAATACTCTTTATTTCATTCAGATGTTCCGGAATAGGGCTGCCCTCTTTATATTTTAAATTAACTAACTTACGAAACAAAAAGGCTTTATTTGTGGCTGATTTTTTTATCATAAAGACTCTCTAATTTTTTCCATAAATCATGTGCTGAAGTTTCCGTAGCAACATGATGAAACACACTGTCATCAATCCATTGACGGATAACACTAACGACTTTTCGATTAAGCCTATTCCATTCATCATCTTTCATACCCTCGGGTTTGCCACTATCACCCTCAATGGGTCCATACAAATCTTTACAAAATAATAAGTCCTCCATTTTAGTTTTCCAAGTTACCCAATTACTTCCATTGAAGCTAGACATACGACTTACATTCCCCTCTATTGATTTACACAAATAAATAAACTCAAATAGACCGTAAGCTCTGATACCAGTTGTTAGGGAAAATATGTGATTTCCTACAAGTAAATCAATCAATGGGAATAAAAACTAATGTGGAAAAATTAAATCAAAGGCAACACAATAATTTTTACATGGTTCCCTTAATGTGAAGTACGTCCACGGGATCGAAATCCGATTCCACTATCAACCAAATAGTTCCAAACGATTACAAACGAGACACGAATGGTCTCATAAAATCACCTTTAGGTGAATTCCAAATAATCACAAATAAACAAGAGGAAAGACCTCACCAAATAGATGAACCAAAATCTTCAGAACCAGAGTTAAAGAAGATCCAAAATAACGAACCAAATCAACTCCAAAATTGAGACTGCAACAGCATCAAAATTACTTACAAAGAACCCACAAAAATTTGATCAAAACCTGCTGCTCTATCCACCAAAACCAAACTCACCGAATAATTAAATATGTTGTAGCCGCCACTTGTGTCTTGGAAAAAAACAATACCCAATAAATATATTGTGAATTTAGAATTTATTATCAAATCTTAGTTGTTTTCAAATTGAATTGGGACTCCACAAATTAAATATAATATATAAAAATATATTATAATTAATACTAAACCAAATTAAACTTTTTTTAATAAATCAATTGGGTCCCATACTCCAATAAAGAGGTATATCTAACAATTTGAAAATAAAATCATGTTGTCAGAAGATGATAATTCTATTTATGTTACTTCTTTGGGACATTACATTCTTACTAATGCAGATATGATTATATGTATATAAATGTAGTCACCGTAACATGAAAAAATTTATATGTAAATGTTTTTATTTTACTAATTTTTTATCACTCTTTTTTTCTTTTCTTGGAATTATTTATTTATTTATTTTTATTTTTCTTGTAAATGTTTCCTCATTTTTATTAGGATAAATTAGACATTCATTCTTGATTCGCTTTCTATTTCTCTTCTTTATGCACTTGCTTTCCTACAATACTCCCACGTACTACCTCCCCTCCCTTTTCCCACCCCACGTTCCACTCCACTCTACAACTGACCACCTCCTCATCCTTACCCAGCACTTACCCTCCTTCACTAGCCTCTAGATTTTGATTCATAGCCTCTTTGATTCTCGTACCCACTGTAATTTTTATTATCGTCCATTTGATATAAATTGATTTTTGAGATTAGGTCGGTTTGGGAGTGGAGATGACTTTAAAATTAGATTGGGTTTGTATTTATTGATCAAATGAGAAAAACTTGTATTTGGTGCAACGTTCTAACCATAATTCTGCTCCTTCACGCGAATTCTCTGTTTAGATCTCCACAAATTAAATATAATATATAAAAATATATTATAATTAATACTAAACCAAATTAAACTCTTTTTAATAAATCAATTGGGTCCCATACTCCAATAAAGAGGTATACCCAACAATTTGAAAATAAAATCATGTTGTCAGAAGATGATAATTCTATTTATGTTACTTCTTTGGGACATTACATTCTTACTAATGCAGATATGATTATATGTATATAAATGTAGTCACCGTAACATGAAAAAATTTATGTGTAAATGTTTTTATTTTACTAATTTTTTATCACTCTTTTTTTCTTTTCTTGGAATTATTTATTTATTTATTTTTATTTTTCTTGTAAATGTTTCCTCATTTTTGTTAGGATAAATTAGACATTCATTCTTGATTCGCTTTCTATTTCTCTTCTTTATGCACTTGCTTTCCTACAATACTCCCACGTACTACCTCCCCTCCCTTTTCCCACCCCACGTTCCACTCCACTCTACAACTGACCACCTCCTCATCCTTACCCAGCACTTACCCTCCTTCACTAGCCTCTAGATTTTGATTCATAGCCTCTTTGATTCTCGTACCCACTGTAATTTTTATTATCGTCCATTTGATATAAATTGATTTTTGAGATTAGGTCGGTTTGGGAGTGGAGATGACTTTAAAATTAGATTGGGTTTGTATTTATTGATCAAATGAGAAAAACTTGTATTTGGTGCAACGTTCTAACCATAATTCTGCTCCTTCACGCGAATTCTCTGTTTAGATATAATTTTCAAAAATTAATTCAACACTCACTTTTGAAAACATATCTATCCGGTTATCCTCCGGGATGTCCCCCAGACATCCGGCCAGTCATCCGGCCGGTTGACCGAAACAGTTTGTTTGTTTTTGGCACCTCTTATTTTTATATTTTAAATAAAAAATATTTTTAGAAATTTAAAATTTTTTTTTATGAGTTTTGAATATAATTTTGAATTATGTGTTTAGTTATGAGTTGTAAGTTTTTTAATCAAATATCATATGTCATATCAAAAATTCAAAATTTTTTTCATAACTAAACAAATTTTCCACACTCAAATCATAATTCCAAAACTCATAAATTCAAAATACAACTCTATTCTCAAATCATAATTCTAAAACTCAACCAAATACCGCCTTAATTTTTTTAAAGATTAAAGTGAGAACTTAATTTTTTTTAGGTATCAAAGTGAGAAATATAAAATATAAAATTCTAAAATTGCCTCTTAAATGTGACCAGAATTGATAATTGGACAATATTAAAAAACATAACATAACTAAGGGATTGAAGTGAAAGAATTTTTTATTTAGCTAGCAACCGCGCACACGCGATGCGTGTGCAAATTCGTTTAGAATTATAATACGAATTTGATATTATTTTTTCTAATAATATACATATAAATCATATGAATAATTATGTACAATGTAACACTTGGTATTAAATTTGAAGACATAAAATTAAGCAAACAAACAAACGAATTTTATTGAAAACACAATATTTTTATTTTTATTTTTTTTAAAGACACACACACAAAATTAACCATCCAAACAAACCAATTTTTTCAAAACATAAATTATAAACACATAAATACAAAATTAAGAACATTGATTTTTAAAAATAAAAAATACATACACACACACAAAATATTATTCTTGTTTGTTTGAAAACAGACTATTCTGATCCAGAGGCGGTTTCTTCGGAATCATCCTCGACGACGACGAAGTCGAAGACGTCTACGAAGAGACCGATGTCGAAGCCTTGTGGTTTGAAATAGAGCGAGTCTGATCCGATTCCGTTACTGGAGGCAATGCAGCAAGGATGCCTTTGAAAACAGACTATTCTGATCCAGAGGCGGTTTCTTCAGAATCATCCTCGACGACGACGAAGTCGAAGACGTCTACGAAGAGATCGATGTCGAAGCCTTGTGGTTTGAAACAGAGCGAGTCTGATCCGATTCCGTTACCGGAGGCAATGCAGCAAGGATGCCGAAATTCTCCGCACGGCCGACGCCGTGGTGGTGGTGGGAGCGGGGAGAGGAGTAAGTGGAATGCGAGGTGGAGGAACGGTTGTGGTCAGCGAAGTCGCCGGTCTAGAAAACGTCATCTTCATTGAGGAGGAGGAAGTGGTTCTCTGGATGCGGAATCTGGCGGCGGAGCCACTGCTCGGGTCCATGAAAAAGATTTTGCTCGTCTTCGTTGAGGAGGAGGAAGTGGTTCTCTGGATGTGGAATCTAGCGGCGACGCCACCGCTCGGGTCCATAAAAAAGATTTTGCTCTCACCAAAAGATTAGAGAGCCCATGAAAGAGAGGGATGGAGAGACAACAACACGTGCTTAAATTGAAAGAGAGAGATTGGAAATCCATTGAAAAGTTTGTGCAAAGGGATAAAGCAAAGACATTGGAAATCTGGTAGACAAATTAATTGAATTGAATTCACCGATGCAGAATCGTTGATAGTGAGATTGAAAATCTGTTGAAAAGTTTGTGCAAAGGGATGAAGCAAAGAGATTGGAAATTCGTTGAAAAGTGAGAGAACAAACGTGAGGGATGAAGTAAAAAATATATAATTGGCAGTTAAAGTGAGGGCAGTTGAGACGTGCAAGTGTAGGAACAAAACGTGTAGGCAATTGAGACGTGGAAGTGTATTTATTTTTTTTCAATATATATAACTTACAGGTGGCAAAAGCTTCGTGACACCAAATTCACTGTTCCCTTTTAATAATAGAATAGATTATGTAAGAGGCAGTTATAGTATATTCACAATGCGACTCGTATACTCACAATATAATAAGCTTTATATTTTTATGTAAGTGTTTTCATATGTTTGTTTTTATATTTTTATAATGCATATTATTTTAAGTACTAATCTCATTTTGTGGAGAATTAAATAAAATTGCAAGTGAAAGAGATTACCTAGTAATGATGAGCCAAAGCGTGTGCAACTTGAGATATGATTTAAAAACAAACTGAATATAATTTTTTCAAACATTCTATTAAATATAAAAATTAATAAAAAATAGAATTAAAAATACTTACAGTCAAAAGAGAAGTAGAAGATAAGTATTAATAAAACACGACTGTAGAAGTTATTTGTTCTGACAATCACAAACTCATTACGTAATAAATATAAAAAAATCATATGAAATTTTGGGATCACTGAATTCTTTCTTATCAAAAAAATACACTTCAAAACAAACATATGAATAAACAAAGGGTTTTTAGAAATGTTACAATTAAAAAGATTAGACACCTACAACTTTCTTTGAATTTTGGCCACCCATGGTTTTTTCCAAATTTCATGAGATTTGGCCAAACTTTCATGAATTTTAACTAAAAAATTATACAACAAAAATTCATATAAATAAATATAAAAAAAATTACATATAAATAAAAATAAAAATAAAGATTGAATAAAAAAATTACATATTTGATTTTTTCAAGCATAGAAAAAGAAGTTATATATTTGAAGCCATTACAAACCGAAGCAATAGAACACGTACCGTCAAAGTAATCAGGTGTCGATAGAGAATAATCCGAAAAGTTTATTCTAAACAACACAAAGTTATAAAGCAACCTTCTGAATCAATAAACGAAGGAAAATAATAGTCAGTTTTTCTCTCCAACAAGTCGATTAACATACTTTTTTTCCTTTTACTTTTTAATGAAGAAAATAAAAAGTGTAAGTAATAATGGTACACACAAAATAACAAAACAGGAATCCATATTCTTGGAACACTTGCAGTAAAAAATAAATAATAAACCCCCCCAAAAAAAGGACTTATTTGTTTTTAATTTTTTTGAAATAAAACAATTTTTATGAAAATTGAATTGTTTTTAAGAAAAACACACACACAAAATTAAGCAATCAAACAACCTAATTTTTTGAAAACATAAATTGTAAACACACAAACACAAATGTTGATATCAAAATTCAGACCCTTCTCTGAAATCATATTTGACCCCTCTTGGTAACATGAGACCGGAGAATATGCTCCATATTGTCATAAATCTAAATTGATAACGACTTGCATAAAATCTTCGGTATCATGTTACCAAAATTCTTTCATCTTCACCTCTCTCTCTATTTACTATAAAATCTTCCCTTTTATTTGTTCAATGATTTATTTCTTTTTTGTTGGGAGAAATACTATTGAAGAACATTGCAATCTTATGATTCTCTTTATTCGAAATATATATCTACTGCTTATCCTACAATGTAAGTGTAGTATTGTTAATTATATTTTTATTTTCTTCAATAAAAAGTTTCATTATGTAATTAGGTTCTATGGAGAAAAAAATATATTGATTCAGAATACTATTATGTATTTTGTTTCTTCATTAAAAACTTTCATTGTGTGTGTTTTTGGAGGAAAAAAAAAAAAAATCAGTGCTCATAATTTTGTGTGTGTCTGTTTTTGGAAAAAAATCGGTATTTTCTGTATTTTCATTAAATTAATTTATAGGTTCTTAATTTTTAGGTTTTTAATTAAACAGTTTGACACCTATGTGCAATTTTTTAGAGACTTAAATAGTTTTGGATTTTTTCCTCTTTCACTTTTTAAGCTGTTGTTTCTTTTTGTGTATAAATTCAGCTTTTTTTATAATTTGATTTGTTTGTTTGTTTACTTTTGTGAGAACACTATTATGTATTTTTTTATTATTCATTAAAAAGTTTCATTGTGTGTGTTTTGAAAAATAAATAAATAAATAAATAAATTCAGTGTTCTTAATTTTGTGTGTGTGTATTTTTGGGGAAAAAAAAAAGCAGTGTTTTTTGTATTTTCATTAAATAATTTTAGGTTCTTAATTCATATTTATGCAAGCTTCTTTGAATAATTTGGCACCATGGCGTAGTGTAAAAGAGACCCAGTAATCAAAGAAACACAAACATAAAGTCAACCCAGACAACCCAAATTCACATACATTATTTAGGATATATAGTTGATAGTTACTCACAGATCAATAAATCATAGATAAAACCACAAAAAACATAATTAATTAAAATTAGAAAATTTAAAAGAGGTGGTGGTGCTTCTTTCCTAGTCCAGTTGAAAACAACCATATGAAAGAACAAAGGTTTTTTTTTTAAGAATAGTTACAAATAAAGAAAATGGCACAAAAGATGATATCTATACAAATCCAAACAATTTGACTAAACCCAAAGAACTTGCAAACATTAAGTCCAGCTAAAATGACCCTATGTTGTTTCAAGATTGAAAATTTAAATCTGCCAAACAATAATAACCTTTTCCTTCAACATAGAATTGAAATCAGAACAAAATCATTTAAAACAAATAAACTGACCAAAACCCAAAATTCTTAACTTATTACACGCCACTGAATGATTTTTATTTTTTATTTTTATACTGATCATTCATATAAACTTATTGATCATTCTTAACTTATTAATAACTTTTGGTGTCCTCCTTGTCTATCTATTGTATGTTCTATTATTTGTATTTGGATTTCTTATTTGGGTTTTTCTTTATTCTTAAATTTGTGTGTGTGTGTTTTTGTGGAAATATATATAGATATATATGTATATATATAAAAATTGAGAGAAAGAATTGGACAAAACAATGAAGAATTGATTCATCACAATTGATATGTCATAATTAAAAAAAATAAAATAAAAAGAAAATTTGAGAGAGAAACTTTGGGCGAAAATAAAGCATACTGAACTCTATATGGGGGGGGGGACTCTACAATAATCCATCAATAAGTCTAGAATACTTACAGTAAAAGTAGATAAGTGTAGATAAAGAATGACCTGAAAAGTTGTTTATTCTGAAAAACACAAACTCATAAAGCAACCTGCAAAAAAATTTACATTATTACACGAAAAGATACAATGCAAAATAATGTTTGATTTAGTTGGAATATTTAGTATTACAGAAAGTATAATTAACAATATTAAAATAAATACAAAAATACATATCTGCAGGACCCTGAATTATGGGAAAAAGCCCCTAAAAGCCCAAAAGTTTTTAAAAACTGAATTATGGGAGGTTGCTACTAAAAAAAACACATAAGAGAAACAAAAAATAACACAACATGGGCAAAGAGGTTGGTTTACTTAAATTAGAATTTTACGTTGTTAAAATGAGCCACAATTGTACACATGCGTACTTTGACTAATAGAGTACAATAATAATTTTGGCTTTCTAATTGGCTTATTATATATAAAGGCACAAAATGTAAATATTATTAAAGTTTTTTATAAATGAAACTAAAAAATTTAAAAATTACATTTTGACATAGATTAACATAGTCCAAATCAAATGGAAAAAAAATCCCAAACTTTTTAAGTCTAAGTCTAAACAATTACACACATTTTATGCTTCACAATTTTTTAAATATATATATAAAAAAATGAATACAAACTTACAATATAAGTTTTTTTTTTTTTTTTTCCAGAAGGAACTTGATATAACATGATGGATCTTTTTATTTTCTATGAAAAGTATAATTAACAGTAATACACCAAAAAATACAAATTGAAGACTGAAAACACTTACAATTATGTAAAATTTAAGAATACTGAAGAACACTACATTTTTTACACACACATTCTTTACACTACATTTTTTTTACACAACATTCTTTTAATACACCCACAATTACACATGCGTATTTTTTGGGATTGAGACAAAATAAAACACAAAAACAAAAGCATCAAGGTTTAAAAGAGAACATTGAACATCAAATTCTGAAGTGTCGATAAGCATTTTGCTTACGGTCAAGAATAATGAAAACATGATAGAACATACAAAGAAGAATTCAATTACCAACTTTTTTCCTTAATGAGAACAGTCATTTGAAACCTTGTTTAAGTAATCAATTGGAGTACAGACAATATCAAAATAAAAAAAAAATAAAAAAAAATTATTTCAAACATTAAGACCAATCCGAACATGAAAAAGGGATAATTAAAAGGCCTAAGTTGTTGGTGTTGTTGTTGTTGTTGTTGTTTTTTTTTTTCCTCTTAGTAAGCAGGGATCAATCAAAGTTGCTGGAAATAACTTATATAGTTGGTGCGTATTTTTAGAAGTTTATTAGCTAAGTGTTGTTAGTTTGCAATGGTTCCAGCATTTCATCAAAAACCTGGTGGCCAAAAGCATAGATAGAGAGGTCCACATGCTTAAAGAAAAAGTTCCTTAAAAAGAATGACAGTAATGTTAAAAATGTTCTTCCAGTGAGTCTATGCAATAAAGGACTTCGTTTGATACAGTAAAAAAAAAAAAAAAGATTTGCTTGCTCATGCAAAAACCCCCCATTTCAGTGTTTTTAA